CTACAGTACCGCCCTTAGCTTCTGGCAAATGTTTGAAATTCTACGGCTTGAATGTAATTACTTTTGCTCAGTGGTTTTCAAACTTTTTAAAGCAGTCAACCTTTTCTGTTTTTCAAATGAAGCAATATTTTTAAGACCAGTAAATTAAAGAGAAAATTAGAATTTTATTTGTGCAAATATATTTTACACGTTTAAATTGCTAACACTTGTGATATAGTCAATCTATGAGAATAACAGTTATTTTGATAAGGATAGTTGCAGTGTTATAGTGTTATATATTTTTCAATGATCTCTGCAGTTTGTTTTTATTGTATGATACTGGGAATATCCTGATCCAGACAGATATGTAATCATAAATGATACGAACTTTTTACATCTCACTTGGCAGTCCTGCACCATTCTGCATTCATTACTGGAAAATGGTATAGTTGGACTTGTATCATCAAAGCTTAAAACCATTAGAATGCCTAAAAACTGCTCGTATTACTTGAGAGGTCCTCGCTGTCAAAAAGCACGTTCACAGGTGTACTTTTAATATAGTTTTTCAACTTAGTTAATAGAAATTTACTTGCTGTTTGCCTCAGATGTTAACTAGAAGTTTCAATGAGTCAAATTTACCTTATTCTGCATATTTAGCTGCAACTTTGCTTCAATTTTATCACTGGTTCTTTACCAGGAGTTGTGAGCATGTTTATATCCTACATCTCTGTTAAAAGTGCATTTGATATACAAACTAGTACAAGTCTGTTATTTTGGGCAGCTAGTTAACTAATGCAATTTTTTATGAGCAAAAACTTTTCTAAGGAGTGATTTCCATTTTCATAAAAAACATTAGTATTGTCACCTTGTTTTCACTTCCATTGATTGTTATGCACTCTTTATTGCTTGTGTCAAACAAAAGTACCTGAGCTTGCAGGCCTTTTAATTCCTCGTGATTCACATACACTGTGGTGGTAACGTTCCCCTTGGTACATCATGGAATATACAAAGATGTATTTTAAAATGACCATTGCAGAGCTACAGACTTTGCAATTAAGGTCATAGTTATTGAGTTGTTTTTTATTTAGATGTGTATATGTTTACAAACATATGTGTTTGTAAACATATCATTTTATCCATTTTATCCATTTTATCCAAACATATCATTTTATCCATCTATCTATGGATCAATACACCCATCAGGAAGAAGAAGAGGAGGTGGAACCGGAGGAGGAAAGGAAGTTATTTTTCTTTCTTTTTCTTTTTTTTTTGTGGTACACGAGCCTCTCACTGATGTGGCCGCTCCCATTGCGGAGCACAGGCTCCGGACGCACAGGCTCAGCGGCCATGGCTCATGGGCCCAGCCGCTCCGCGGCATGTGGGATCCTCCCTGACCGGGGCACGAACCCGTGTCCCCTGCATCGGCAGGCGGACTCTCAACCACTGCGCCACCAGGGAAGCCCAGGAAGTTATTTTTGTCTGGTAACACAATTTGATGATTTGGGAATTGTCAGTATGACAAAATGTTTTTATAGAACACACTTTACAGTGTTTTTATTATAGGTTTTTATGTTATTGTTCCAAAATATGACAGAAATGAATTTAAACCAAGTTTTTACAGAACCTCTGAAGAACTGCAGTTATAGCTCAATGGAACACAGTTTGAAAAATAATGGTTTATCTGAAGGCTTTTATTTCTTTTAAAATGCAAATACCTCTACTTTCACCTGCAATCAGTCATTTATATATTAATGTGAACAAATTTATTAGATATCTTTCTGAGACTTGGATTTAATGCAGAAGAAGAGGAGGCAAAGATTAACTCAGCAACTGAAAGAAATGGGAAAGACTGAATATTAAGGCTAAGAGCACTGAAGATCTAATTTGCCTACTTTACAATTTTGCTTAAAGACCATGACATCTACATATGATACACCCATTTTTATTTCCAGAAGAAGTAAAACAAAACAGGCAACAACAAAAACAAAAGAAAATGACAAACCCACAAAGAAAGTGTCTGAATTAGATGAATGTGAGTATGTGTATGTTTCAGAACTGCATCTGTTTTAGAGTATTTTGCTAAAACAATAATGTAATTAAATTAATTACTTATAATTTTGATCAACTCGAATTAAATCAACTGTAAAATTTCCAACCAGTGAATTTATTAATTGAAGATACTCTGATCTTATGCTGTGAATGTACTCAAAGATTGCAAGCAAAAAAATTGTGCAGGAGTTCCAGTTTATGTAGGGTGAAGTATAAATGAGTATGTAATGCTCCAAACCTGATCTTGTACCTTTGATCTATGACATTTTTTAAATTAAAACAAACTTGTAAACTTTTTTCTTAATTTAAATCCTTCTACTAAATTAAAAAAAATATCTTTACTTCAAGAATCTATAGTTAGGTATGCTTCCCCCATTCTCCCCACCACCAAAAGCTTTCTAAAGTTTATGGAAACAAGCATCCATTCTAATATAGTAAACATTCAGTTTAAACTTCAAATTTTTTACAGAGCTATATCAGAAAAGTTGCTAGTTAATATTTCAAGAAAGCACAACTTAAAAAGAAGAAATTTACATTATTAATTTGTTCATTTATTTACTTATATTTTTCCAAGAGTGAAGTTACTAATTTAAATCTGGGTTAAGAAAAGTTGTTGGACTAGAATTACAGTTCCTGTTATTTCATTCTAAAGGCCATACCTGTAACCATTCTGTGTAAATCTGAAAATATATTTAGATTTAAAATACTGATTGACCCTTACATTTAATACTATTGTCTTTGTGTCAAGAAATTGAAAACAAGATCAAATGATAGAAACATTTACCCATTTCGGGAAGGGATACATGCAGATATTTTAAGTAGCAAATTTCTTTCATTTCCGATTATTAAGTGTAACATTTAAGAATTAACAGAATAAATGTGAAATCAAAACTTTGAAGCATTTTGAGATACTTTTAGCTATTTTGTTGTAAAATATATCAAAATGAAAAAATCTTGATAAAATTAATAAAAGACTGATTAACACAGAAGTCTTTTTAAAATATTCAGCTGATAAAGTCATTTTAAGCGTTCGATTACACTGATCTTGAAATAAAACTAAACCCAAACTTACAAGCATAGCTGGTTTAGAGAGGGAAATAAAAGTTGAGCCAAATCAATTATAAAGCATGCTTTTGTTATTACTCATACAATGACCTTCAAAAACTCTGATTTCTAATGCTTTTCCCAATCTCTGTACTGAGAAAAATCTATCCCTAAGTCACAAACCCTGTAGGTTCTCACTTCATTCCTCCTTCTTTCCCAAGTTTATGGAAACTTGGTCCCAATAGTTTCATAGTACAAAGCAAGAAGACAGAATGGGAAGAGAGACCTTTTCCTAGGGTTATTTATGGGCACTGACAGTCTGTACAATACTTCTGGCTGATTTGTGTGTGCTTCATTCCAAACGTGTATTCCTTAGCATACAAAGGGGGATGAGTGAGACCAACAGACAGCATGTCTGCAGTAGCTCCACAGTATACAGACACTTGTCCCGGTGGAGCACAGCCATGAGTTTTACAAACTTTAACATCTCCTTGGGCTAACATAGTTGGCCGCTGAGCACTGAGAATCAATTCAGATACATATCTGCAACGTCTACATGCAAAGGACATACCAAGTATTAATAGGCAGTGACCAAACAGAAAAATAAACCTAGAAATTATCATTTTATATATATAATATATGTAAAACTATTTTTTAACTACATGGACTATATTACTATATGTACTTATTGCTTCCTTAGGGATAGAAGCAGAGATTTTTTAGGTTTGGTCTTAGTATGGTCCTTGAACTAATTTTTAAACTTAGAAAATTTTCAGGAATCTTTTTAGAAATCTGCATTTACATTTAAATATAAATGCATTATTAATGTCAATAAATCCTAGAAATTAGTAATTATACCTAATTTCTCTCATTTTAAAATTCATATAGCACAAGCCTACTCATCTTTTCTACGTACTTCTTCAAAAAACCATTTTCCTCCATGTTTTCATACAGTTATATTCGTTCTGAATAGAAAGCATCTTAAAGCTATTTCCTACCACCACCAAGCCTATCAACCATCCTCACATTTTATTTTCTTTATTTAAAAAAATATTTATTTTTATTGAGCCCATAAGGCTGTGATCTCTTCATATTTTGCCTTTGCTACACTGAGCTGAGCCAATACGTTTTCTTGGCCATCTGAATGCCATCAAAGGTATTAGATAGATTCTGGAAGGTTAAAAAAAAATAGTATAGATACTATACATAAATTGGGGCATGATCAATTATTATAATACCAAAAGATTATAATAACAATTTGGTGTCTTTGTTTGTACAGTCTATCAACAAGAATTAGTTGTCATGTCCCAATGTGAAGTATAATTCAATGGAGTTGAAAACTGATCCACAGTTATTCTACCCTATTTTGTTAGTCCTCTGCCCTTTGTTTCCCAGGTATTCTACTTTTTACTAAACTTCTGGAAAAATAGAAGCAGATAACCAAAACTGATCGTGGGATATTTTAAAATGCCATCATATATAATATTTAGGACAACAGTTTCATGTAAGATAGCTTCCTAATCATAGCCTGACTGAAGAAAGCCAAAAATAAAACTTGCAACACACCTCAGAAAAGCCTTAACTAGGCCCTTGTTATAGCAACTCAAACATCTGACCAAGATGATCACATTCCAGAATTTAATGTACAATACATCCTATATTATTATCCACTAAGTACCCACGTATATTTTATTTTCTGTGTCAAGAGCTATACCCACAAAAAAGAGAATAAAGGAGGAAAAAATCCATGAAAATATAGCCAGTTTATACATGATTTTAGAATCTATTATATTAATCACACTCGCATATCTGATATAAAAAATACAACTGCATAAATATATAGAGTATAGTGCAATGGAAAACTCTTACATTTAAAGTAGTCTTTAAGAGCCGATTAAGAAGCAACAATTAAATGTTAGAAAACTTACCTTGACTTGCAAACTTCAACTCTTTGGCATCTGTGAGCGTGGTCCTTTTGTCAGACCCTTTTTTCTCTGTTCGGCGATGGCTTCGTCTTTTCTTAGACTCTCCCCAAAGATTGGACCCTCCGTGCATGCTTGGTATATTCAAAATAGCAATTCCTTCCAGAGAGATGTTTATTAAATCAATCTGTACTCCATCACACTGATTAGAAAAAGGAAAAGAACAGAAACAATTTGATTTCATCTTTTGTACTTCCTTATCTTTTAATAAGAATTTTAAAATCTATAATCTTGTCCTTTCTAAATAAACCTTTCAAGAACACTTAAATGGTTACCCTAAAGGTCAATATAAAAGATAAAGCAACCAATAACATTTACCAGGCATCATAAATAGTCTTTAAAAATGATCAAATTAAATCATCAGTGTATCTCTGTTTACAGAAAACCTTTGAAAGGGGCCCAGTTTAGTGCCTGCATATATAACCAGCTGCAAATTTCCAATGTGTTACAAAGAGGTTGATTCTGGAAAGTTTTGTCAAATTTCAGGCAGAAATTTTAAGGACTGCTCCTATTTAGAACACACTGCAAGGTACTATTGGGGGAAAATAAAGAAACAGAATTCATAATTAGGGCCTCATTTTTGGGGAGCAGAGAAAGAAATGGCTTAAGAGACTTTTGAAAAAAGAGATTCAAAGAGATCTGAATTACAATGAAGTGGCCAAGGATGGTTTCTTGAACTAGATTAAGTTCCAAGCACAGTGTCAAAGGCAACGAGAGGTATGGTTATCTAAATGAACATGGAGAACCAGGCAGGCTGAGTGAAGGAAATGCCAAGAGCAGCAGCAGTAAAAGGAATCTCCAGGGGCTTCCCTGGTGGCGCAGTGGTTGAGAGTCCGCCTGCCGATGCAGGGGATGCGGGTTCGTGCCCCGGTCTGAGAAGATCCCACATGCCGCGGAGCGGCTGGGCCTGTGAGCCATGGCCGCTAAGCCTGCGCGTCCGGATTCTGTGCTCCGCAACGGGAGAGGTCACAACAGTGAGAGGCCCACGTACCGCCAAAAAAAAAAAAAAAAAAAGGAATCTCCAACCCATCATTACTTTATAGCTGCTTTAACGAAAAAATGAAAAGTAAAATCAGTCAGCCAGATTTTTTTGTTTGCCTGGTGAGAAGACACCCTTTCACTATGCAAAATATGGAACACTCTACCAGACAATGCTTTGCAATACTCAGAGTGATCACTTTTTACATTTTTGAATTTTCCATACATTTCTACTGATGCGCATGTGTGGAAAGTGACAAGGCCATACTGTATTTTTGTAATTATGATTTATTTATTCATTTACTTTGAGTTTCCTAAAATGGTACTTATTATAATACAGCCCAGATATTGTCCTCCCATTTTCAGTTAGACGTCAATATGAGCGGAGATGTCAATATGTAACACTATGCTTTACAAACAAACTTTGTTAGGGATATGCATTTCATCAGTTAAAGTATATCTGCAGCGGGATTGTTTTATTTGCTATATGTTTTATTACAGTAAAAAAAAAAAAAGGTGGATACAATTTCATCATTCTCTTTCTCACCATAATCATGATTTTTGAAACTGGAAGAGATAATCCTTCACCAAAATTACAAAAACAAAAAACAAACAAAAACCCTCTCTTTTTCTACATTTTCCTCATCATACTGAATCTAATACTGTATCTTGTTCACTAAAATATAAAAACTGTGAAATAAAGCAACACATCTTGAGCCTACTTGGCAGGGCTAGAAACAAATTCTAGAGAAGGTGCCAAGTTTTCATTCAATTTATTTCAACGAGGGTGAAACCAAGGTCTGGATGATGCCTTTTCTCCCCCTAGAAACAACTGATTTTTTTCCCCTTCTTTTCATGTATTAAATTAAGATGACTTCTTTTTACTAAAGAATTCTGCTCATGTGTATACTCACTTACTGCTATATATTCTAGATAAACAGATATTAATTTCATAATTAAAAGTAATCTTGTGTAAATACCCTGCAGGCCTCAATGAATCAAACACATACTGTGTGTCAGGCCTCCTACTGTCTTCAAGTGGAATGTACTGGCTGGATAATTAGATAGTACATATTTTTTAACCTTATTTGCATGCATATTATATCTTTTGCACACTGACAAGCAGCAGTAACAACAAAAGTCAGATTACCACAGGGAATTCCCACAAAGAAGTCTTCATTCCTTATAATTTGCAGCCTAAATTAAAATAATTTGATCTTTGACAAGGATGAAATGTCAAGCAGAAGGGGGTCCTCTACAAGCCACGGCCTGTGGCTTCTGAAATCTGCCTAATTTATGTCAGTCACTTCTTAATACATATTTAAGTATTACACGAAAAAGACGATAAATATGCAATCTGACACCTTTGGTATTTCCCTGCTGTTAATTTATAAAGGTCTGGCTTCCCCTAAACTGACTAAAATCATTTAAATAACAGAAGAATTGTGAAATAAGCTGGAGTTGAGGCCTGGCTTCCATTTTCACTCAATATTGAACACAGCAGGTAGTACACTAAGACAATTATTTGACTAGGCCTTCGAACCCCACTGTGACAAGTTACTTTCAGAATTAGTGAAGGAATATTCCTTTGTTCATCTGCAAAAAAGGAGAGCATGTTGCAAATAGGCTTTTTTTTTTTAAACTGAATTAGGGGAATCACATGTGACAACTGAAAAACATCAGTGTATACTATTATTCATGTTTTCACTCTTCAGAGTCTTGGCACGTGTAGTTTTAAGGAAACAGTAAGCAGCTCTGTGAAAAGTGAAAAAAATTCTTAAGAAATTCCAAAGAAGAAGGACCAATGGAGAACACTGAGGTTCCTGTGAGAGGAGGACAGTGTACTTACATAAATACCTACTTATTAATAATTTGTTTCCACTAGTTCTTGACCCCAGGCTACCTTCCTCTGTTTGCTTTAACGTTATGTTCATTAGTCTGGAAATTTCCAGTGCTGGCTCTGATGAAGACCAGGAGTTGTATAGCACACCAGTTGAGTGCATGGAAATAAAAGCTGAGGTGAAGGCTATGAAATATAAACAAGTTATAATACTGTGTCAGATAATATTTTCATCCACTTTGAAGATTTATGATTTTTAAAAAGGTAGCTACAGAGAAAAAGAATATAAAAGCTTAAAAGCTAACAGCCTTGGTTAGTCAATAAATCCTGAATATTTTTATCATGTTGAAGAGAGGTCGTTAACGTATACTACTATGGGAGCTATTTTCAGAGTGCAATGTTGTGAGGCCATTGTCCACTCTTTTCAGTTTTGAAATGGAAGATCTTATTCTAGAGACAAATTTACCTAAAAGAATATGGTTTAAATTTTTCTTCCAATATATTTTAATCCTAGTTTATAAATATACCCTGCACCACATTACACAGAAGTGTTAAAGACAAACTTTTATATGTGAATTTAGTGTTTTAGATTCAGTTAACATGTCACTTGACAGAAATATTTAAAACATGTGAAGAACTCTGGAGAGCCATAAAAGTGTGGATAATAAATATGATGAGATATGATTAATGATAAACTGTAAATATTTTTTCATAGTGAGTCTAATTCTATGCCCAGGTCAGATAAAAATTATTCATAATTTTACTAAATGAAACATAAAAACATTGCTTTGTTCATTGTTTAAAATGGTATGGTGTAAAATGACTTTAATATACCTGCTTTAGAAGAGTTTCTGCAAATTCATACATAATTCATAGGATAAAATTATTTATGTTTTGCAGAAAACTATAGCAGCAAACCTACAAATTAAAACGTACATATAAAGGGCTTAATGGGATTAGAAGGCTGTGGTATTCTATATTTTCCCAGTGATTAAGCTCCGTGTTTTCTGAAATGCATTTGAAAAGTATTACCCACAAAACACAGTGTGATATAGGGACCCAGAACATGCCTTTTAGGTGATTTTACTGTTAGCTGGCAGTCCAGTGACGGTGACAACAGTGCTGATTGCAGATAACTGCAAGATTATTTTTAGAGTGGAATGGGAGATAACTGGTAAAGGAGAGGAAGATGGAAGCACACTTGGAAAACAGAAATATTTGAAACTGGTACCATGTATGCACACACACAGTTGCTGAACATGTTGACAGTAACAATAACACTGCTGGTTCAAGATATCAAACATTGGGGCTTCCCTGGTGGTGCAGTGGTTGAGAGTCCGCCTGCCAATGCAGGGGACACGGGTTCGTGCCCAGGTCCGGGAAGATCCCACATGCCATGGAGCGGCTGGGCCTGTGAGCCATGGCCGCTGAGCCTGCGCGTCTGGAGCCTGTGCTCCGCAACGGGAAAGGCCACAACAGTGAGAAGCCCGTGTACCGCAAAAAAAAAAAAAAAAAAAAAAAGATATCAAGCATTAGTTATAAGTATCAGCAGAAAAGCACTTTAATTTTACATGTTTCTCTCTTTCAGGAGATTCTGTGAAAGCCAGAAATTATTGCTGGAATATTAAATTTCTTACCAAAAGTTATCTTATTAAAAATAACTTATGGTAACTAAAGAAGAGAAATTTCACCTGTGGTCACCTTTCATCTGTCTCATTTCTTCCTCACTATCCTCAGTAAGAAAAATTATAATGTATTTATCTTAATGAAACGGTAACAGTACCTCAACCCCACATTTCTTGTACTTTCCTGGAACAGGGAGATATTTTTTTTGTTTTGGACTTGATGAGTCCAATTTTTGATTACTAGGACCATCTGTGTTGAGGTCTACACCTTTAATGTCTCCCTTCATCACTGTTTCTAGAATTTCATTGCAAAAAAAAAAAAAAAATCACCTGGGAAGCTTTAGAAGAGAGGGAAGATCTTTTGCCTGTTCTTACCACACATGTGCGCACATGCGTGTGTGCACACGCACACACACACACACACAGAAAGAGGGCAGGGAGATACTTTTGGAGGTGATGAAATGTTGATGGCTTTGATTATGATTATAGTTTCATGGGTATATTCTTTTCTCCAAACTCATTAAGTTGTCTACATTAAATATGTACAGCTTTTTGTAGATCAACTATGCCTCAATAAAGGGTTTAAAAAAGAATGTTCATTCACACGTTTCATTTCTACTACTCCAAGATGGTGTTTTGGTAGGGGTCAGGATAGGCTACGGTTCTCTAAATGCATGCTGAAAGATCGTCCAGGATGAA